CATGGAGCCGGCTTTCCGGCCAATCGGCATGGAGCCGGCTTTCCGGCCAATCGGCATGGAGCCGGCTTTCCGGCCAATCGGCATGGAGCCGGCTTTCCGGCCAATCGGCATGGAGCCGGCTTTCCGGCCAATCGGCATGGAGCCGGCTTTCCGGCCAATCGGGAAGCCGGGAGGCGTGTCATTGCTCGCCGCTCGGCTTCCTGATTGACCAGAAAGACTGTTTTCCAGCCAATCATAATCGAGCCGGCCAAATAACATAGAGCTGGCTTCCCGGGCAAACATTACATGCCGCCTGGCTTCCTGATTGCCATGGAAGCCGGTTCCATCCCAGCGAAAGCACTGGTATCGGTACTCGGTATCAGCAAGCAAAAGTATCGGTACTCAAACTTACTTTGGTTGTACTTACTTTCGTTATTACTTAATGATGAAAAAACGGTATCGGTGCAACCCTAATTGATAAGTATCTGCTTGCATTTCTCAGCATTGAGGACACCATTGATCCTGACCTAATCTCCAACTCCATTTGCAAAAATGCAGCCCCAGACTTGCAAGGAACCTCCACCATGATTCACTGTTGCCTGGAGACACATTATTGCTCTTCAGCTCTTCTGTGAACAAACTGCCTCCTGTTACAGCAAAATATTTAAAATTTTGACTCATTAGTCCAGAGCACCTACTACCATTTTTCTGCACCACAGTTCCTATGTTTTTGTGCACAGTTAGGTCACTTAGCCGTGTTTCCATGTCGGAGGTATGGCTTTTTGACCACAAGGCTGCAGAAAAATGGCAGTAGGTGCTCTGGACTCATGATTCAAAATTTGAAATATTTGGCTGTAACAGGAGGCAGTTTGTTCGCCGATGGGCTGGAGAACGGTGCGATAACCTCCTGAAAAATAGCAGAGCACTTCCTGACAAGTGATTGTTGCTTAAAATCTGTATATCTACAGTGTGAGATCATCTAATGCCCTGCTGCCTCTGACTGCTATTCTCATAAGATTTTAAGCAAGATTTGTCGAAGTCACTACTGTGCTAATATTATATATTTCAGCAGAACTTTGCTATGAAAAGTGTGTAGCAACATCTAAAAAAAAGTGTGTGTGTTTGGGGAAGAGGTGTTGATCTATTGTACATGTTAGAAAAGTCTATCACGTGTAGTTATAAGGTTTGAGTATGCCTTTTAATTTGTGTGTCTCATAGGTTATAATCCATCCTAAAAATAAGTTAGTTAGAAAAGGTCTTGAAATGTAAAGGTGCTCCACATGCTTACTGTGGCCAAACATTTAGATCTTGGGATGTTTTCTTTACTTGGCATGCACATCCCCTGTTCAGTGCTTGTTAGGCGAGCTCCCTGCAGCCCATGGTGTACCACATCAATCCATCAGCAAGATGAAATAAGTCAAGATTTGCCAATATTCCAAGCTTCCCTGTTGTATTCAATGCTACCCCATACTCAGGAGGTTGTTGTGCAACTGTGCCAAAAAAAATTTTTCTTTTAATCCTTCAACAATATCACTTCTATACATGGCTGATTTGCACCATATACAGTATACAGTTTCATTGCACAAAATCATGGGAACAGATGTCTACTTTTCATTTTAGAATTGAAAATGTCTTTTTGCTTTTCATATAAATTTACAGACTATGTGCTCTAGTTATATCATTGTTCTCATCACAAAGTTTTGTGGGGTTTTTTTTATTGTGCTCCTGTTGATCTGAACTAAATTGGATAGCACAGAGTACTTTTATTAGTAGTTTGTTTCTTTTCTTCACTGACCTCATGGTAGCCATGATATAGGAATGTGATATTAAACTCCATATCTTGTATCAGTTAGGCTGTTCCTACTTTGAAGCTCTGATATATATATATTATTTTTTTTGGGTTATGTTGTTGAAAAGTGTAAAGTTACAATGATGCTTTGCTATGGACCTAACTCTACTAAAAGCTAATCTGCTGCTGCAGTGGCCACAAGCACACACATGCAGGACTAAAGTAGAATAGGTGTCAGTATTACAGTTCCAAAATAAACGAAACCCTCACCCTTTAAGCTATTTTCTTTCTCCCCTATCTTCCACAAAAGATAGCTTTTTAACTAATATGATCATTTTTGTGTTGTTTTAAAATATTGTATACATTTTTTAATTCTTGTCCATATTATTTTATTGCCAGTTTTATAGATCTTAAAGTGACACTAAACTCAGGAGTTAAGCTGTAGATCCTCAAATCATCTCTGAATTCATGCTGACGCTGTCCTCCTTCTGGAGGGGGGCTACTTTTGTTCCCCATGGTCCCTGTGTGTGTTGTAAAGTAGTCACCGCTCCAAGCTCACTCCTGTGATGGACTACAATCTCATGTTTAGTTTATTCATTTGTATTGATATTGTAGTCCATCTCAGGAGCAAGCTTGGGGTGGTGGCTACTTTACAACACACACAGGGACCATGGGGAACAAAAGTAGCCACCCTCCAGAAAGAAGGACAGTGTCAGTATGGATTCAGGGATGATTTGAGGATCTACAGCCGATACACAAAAAGGATACATTTGTGTTAATAGTTAAGGTGCATTTTTTAAGATTTAATTCTTGAGTTTAGTGTCACTTTAAGTCTGATATGCAACCCCTCCTCTTCATGGTATTCAGTTTAGTGCAAGCTCGGTGTCACAATTATGTGACATTAGGGGCTTGCATCCACAGACCAGATCATACACCTTTGCAGAAAATGGGAAAGGAAAATTGTTGTATGTACTTTAGCTGTTTTGGTTTGATTAGTATTTTGTTATAAACAGAATAGAATTATGTTTACACATTTAACTGCAAAAAATCCCAGAGATGCCGCTGCTAACAGTACTCGCACTATCCTGTATGTAAGGAAACGTTACCTTGGAACACTACTCACCATACCCTTGTTGCATGTC